AATCAACTATTATACTTAAAAGTAAATATAGTAATAACATCTGCTTAGAATTTCTCTCTTTTCCCAATAAATTATTAACAACGAAGTAGCCGTATCGATCAGAGTTGAGAAAGAAATCATAGGCCAAGGGGTTAAAAATGTCCTCTCTATCTCACCAGACGTTAAAATATGTCTAACGAAAAACTTCCGAGTGCAAAGGGTTAACACGAAATTCCAGCCACGTCAGCAGCTACCGACAAGCAACCACAACACAAGACCCACAACCCTAATCCCAAAACGATCTAGCATTCGCAATTTCTAATCACAGTCGATCCGACTGTCCTCCCGGAGCGTCTCCCCTCGCAGCGGCGCGGAATCAGGTGGCAAGGGAGACCGAGGAAAAAAAGGATTCCCGGAACCGGTGGAATCAGCCCTCTAATCCTGCCCATTAGACTCGAGGCGTAAAAACCCAACAGATTGGAAACCGCATTCGGTTAGACTCGCCACCTTTTATCCGCGGACAGAGCGGCGATCCTCTATTTGTCCCCCCCGGCATTAGCGCGTTCCCCGATCTAGCCGAGCGGTCCTATTAACTAATGCCGGTCACCCCTGTCGAACGGGACGCGACATACGCGCGCACCAGCCAACCAGCGAACGAACCAGCCGACGATCGCGCAGCCAGTCAGTCAGGCAGGCAGGCCAGGGTGCGGAGGAGCATGCCTGGTAGGACATGGCTGCTACGACGGGACAGTTTAAGCCCTGATATATCGCCCGGCGACACTCCCAACTTCTGTCGCCCGTTTCTGTGGCGCTTTTTTTCGTCACGGCGGAGCCACGGCTGACCATATGTCCACGGAAACCGAGATCCCCGTCCCCGTGACTCCGCCACGCGTCCCCCGTTCCGTGTCGTTCATGGCTACCCATCGGCCGACGAGCACGGGATATACCGTTCGCTTCTACCTGCACTTCCTTCTCCTCGGGCGTTAATCGACTTCGATTACCGACGGGCTCTGTCGATCGGCGTTGCTTGGATAATCCGATTCCATTGTTCGGGCTTCCGCGCCGCGACGGTTCGAGATGATTGATTACCCGCGGTAATTATAGCCCGCGAAAGAGAAGATAATAAATGACTCCGCGGCGTTTATCTTCAGCTTAGAAGCCAGATATCCATCGGATTCGAGTTCGGAATTAACTTTAACTACGGGAAACGTTTAACTGCCAGGAATAATTGAAGAACAAAAGCCTCCCTTCATTTCTCATTTAATCGCGAATTAGCGGCGATGCTCGAGCGCAGCGGCGTCGCTGGGAAGTTCTGGACGTTATCGTGGCGATGGCGCTTGATTCTGTTAACCCGCCGCGGGGTTAAGGCGATAGCGTAATGGAAATTGATCGGCTGAAGAGGATACGATCTGGAGGTGTCGAATGAATCTTTCTCGACACTTCGACTGGGATGTTGCGTGAAGCGTTAGCGGGTTGAGGAGATTGTGAGGCAGTAGATTGAAACCGTGGAAAGAGATTGAACTAAATTGGACAATCTGAAACAGTCGTATATTATATAAATGCGATTATTTTAGATTGTTCAATTCTAGTCATATATAAATGTGATTGACAGAAGATGTAATCGTTGAATTAGAATTCACTTGCGTCAGACCTAAGCGAGCTTTGCTACTGTTATTGTCATTAACATCTCACGGCAGATAAGTACACTGAAATCGAATTCTTAAAACTTTAGACACCTGCAGTAGCTAAAGAGTTAACCCTTGGCAGTCCTACACCGAGTCAGACTCGAGAAATCACAATTGTGTGACGCTGTATTTATTTATTCAAGAATATTTCGGAGCCATTGAAATGTTACCTTTAAATGGTACGATTGTGATTTGTCGAATCTGACTCGACATAGGACTGCTAAGGGTTAACTCTTTATTGTACAATTGTGATACAAATAAATATAGAAAAAATTAAATCAGGTAGAGGTTGTAATAAAATGGAATCGAGTCTGACTCGACATAGGACTGCTAAGGGTTAAGCTGCAATTGAATGAACTAACGTCGAACCTCAAAGTGAGAAACCAAGAGCACTTCGGAAAGGGTTGAGAAAACTGTTTCGAATAAGCGACAGTCACTGTTGAACGTCGTCTCTTCACAGTTCGGCGAGTCCGGTTGAAAAAAGGCCGTTTCCCCCGTTCAACCCTTGACCCCGCGTTCGGGACGCGGCGGACATTTACATGCTTCATTGATTCCTCGTTCCTTCGTGCCATTGGTTTTCCGGCTACGTGGGCGCGTTAAAGCGAGCTTAGATAACCCATGCTCGAACGGTCGGACCCCACTTTGCACGTAACAAATGACGCCACATGTTCGAATCTTGACTCGTTCCCTCTCCGTCCGGCCGCTCTGTTCGGCGAATAACCCGCGGGGCACGGGCCATTCTGTCCGCAGAGCGTTCGGGGATATTGGGGTCCCGCGTTCGCGTAATTTGTACGGTTAACGCTCGCGCAAAAACGACGGCGACAGGGAGAAAGAGGACGGGGGGATCGACAGAAGGAGGACGCTCGAGCGGAGACAATTTACACGGGGCTAACTGCCGCGCTGGGAGCATTTACCAGGAGCACGGATCGAATCGATCCTACTTAGCTGTTAATGGAACCTTATGCCCGCCGCCGCCGCCGCCGCCGCCGCCGCCGCTCGAGAGTTTCGTTTCAAAGGCTTTCGGACGCGAGCATGTTAACCCTTCGCACTCGGTGACTCTCGGTCATTCGGCGATTCGGCGAAGTAAAATTATAAAATTTCATATTTATCCCTTTGAACTCTGTAGGCTCCGATATCGCACCAGGAAGAATATTAGATATTTTAGTGAATCTTACAGAAACTACCCTACAATTATTAGATTTCTCACACATCCAAATTTTGCACTAAGGAAAATAAAAGATCGAAGGAATGTTATATCATTTTTCATTTTCGCTAGGGATACTAATATTAGTTGCAGTTGCTGATAGATTATAAAACCATCTGGAGTGCTAAGGGTTAATATTGTAGAATGCATCGGTGCGTGAATTATTGAGATAAAAGAGCTTTGTTTCTCAATGTACTTGTGATTTCTCTTTGAGTTAATTTTCAAAAATATCATCTTCGGCTAGTTAGAAAGTGTTAAGTGTTTCTAACGAAATACTTCCGAGTGCAAAGGGTTAATATTATATTTTCTCGTTTTGGGTATATTGCTTTATGAAATGGTGCATTCAACGTTAAAGGGAATCGCACATAGTGAACAATTGTTGCTTTCTTTGCTGAAAAGGATAACTATACAGAAAACTAGTCAAGATTTCTGTCGTTTAACGTGTTAATAATCCCATTTCGTCGCGATAGAATTTTATCGATGATTTACCGCTATTAATTCTCGACCTCCCAGAAGATGATGTTCCAGGAGGCATCCTTATTCGAATAAGACGTCGAACACCTGCCACATCGGAATATCCGCTGTCAGCGATGATTAGTTAACGCGATTTCGTGTCGCAGCCGGCGTGCAGGGTACAAGAGAGGATGGTGAAATAGTTGGACGAAAATTCCGTGGCGAGGACAGTCCGTTCGCGCGAGTAAAGAAGAGACCGTAACCGATGACGACGGATGAGCAGCATTGAAGAGGACAAACGCGATCGTGTACGCTCCCCTGCCGCCCCTCCGGCTTCTCTCTGTTCCTCTCTTTCGTCGGCCTTTTCATCTCATTGTCGACGGTTGTCCAAGTGCCACCGGGCTGCAGGTAAGTGGCCGTCGTCGCGCCTCGTTCAAAAAGACTTAACCGATTGCTGCCTCTTTATCAACCACTTTACGGACGCTTGAAAATCTGTCCGGGCGTACGAGGATCCCCGTCCTTCCGATCCGTTCAACCTGCGCCGCTCATTGTGATTAATTCCGACATATGTCCCCGGCTCCGTCACAAAGACCGCCGAAACCTTTCAGTTCCCTCTTGACAGCGAGCGGGCGTCGAGATCTTAGTACCTCGCTTCTTATGAGAAACGTAAATGACACTCGAAACGAAACAAATCTTTCGAATCTGTCTTTCTGCGGCTCTTCGCGCTGGAACTACCGTGCTAGAAATCACTGGTTTCGATTTGGTCGTTTCGAAATTATTGATATAGGCATTCGAGATGATCTTGATTGTTTGATTCGAATATTGTAACGAGTCTCCGAAGGAACTGCAAATCGGTTATAGATTTTATAGGGAGTATGTATTGATCGCATCAAATGCTTGGTAGTTCTAGTTAACACTAGATTTTAATATCTTAAAGGCATTGAATATTTGGAATGATTTTGGAAATAAATAATTTTACTCGAGTACTATGATGAATATCCAAAGAAACTGAAAATAATCTGTTACAATTTTTATAGAGACTACATATCAATCGTATTAAATGCTCAATAGTTCTAGTGTTAAACGCGTCTTCTGTGTTGATACTTTCAAACTCAGAATATTTCAGCTAACGGACTAGACTTCGTGGAGATTCGAAGCTTCAAGAAATCAGTGAGACAGTATTGCGAAAAAGCGTTTTCCTAATGAACGCCATAACGAGCACGCTTTTTTATTGCATTGCGTGTAACGTTGCACGAAATTCTCTATAGACGAATAAAAGTCTAACATCTTCTGTTCCTTCGTTCACAATAAACGACCAGAGTTTTTCACCAGTAATTCACCAGAGCTTCGGTGAAAGTAACTAGAATCGCTCGAAAGTTCGGATCGAACGTTCAAGCGGCAGACGCCGATTTCCAGCCGTTCAACCGTTAAATTCGCGATTACTCGTGTTAATCGGCCGGAGGGCCGTCTTCCGCGAAAAACAATCGACCAACGGATGTCGCCAATTCTTTTTTGCCCGGGCGGACGGAGCCGGCGTATAATGTAACGTCTGCGCGCACGTAATATGAATATTTATCCCAGAGATCGTCTGCGCGGGCTGCGTGTCTCTTAGCGCGCGCGCGCGATTACGTTTCGCGTATTCACGGTTCACCGTTACGCGTAATTTATGTGTCCCTTACCGTCGCGGTCGTCGTTGATTCCTCCTCGTCCCGAGCCGAACGGAGAGATCCAAGGAGTCCGCTCCCGTCTGCAATGATAAACGAAAAAACGAGGTACTCTCTGGTACACGGATCTCCGATGACGTTCTCGAGAGATATTCCGCGAGCGATGCACGGCTGAAATTTATAATGGACACTCGAGCTCGTCCTATATTCTTCCTTTTCCGCGGTGCCTTTAGACTCTCGGATGTGTGCTCTATACAGAACCGAGGAACCTCGTTCGCGTGGAAATGGGTTAACGAATCCTTTAGCTTCCGATTAACACTAGGTTCACGGGCATTTATTGTACTTCATTATATTACTCCTAAAAGAATCGATGCTCGTTTATTTAGATCGTGGAAACTGGAGATTCGATAGTAGGTAATTGGGGTACATGTCAGTGTGATCAAAATCGGCGTAAACATTTAGGAAATAATATTTCTAAGATCCAGTATGCGTCAATTTGACGCGTTCCGTAAACCTAGTGTTAACCGTGTCGCACGACGAATGATGACGATATTTAACATTCTTTGACGAGAACGATGAGATTTGAAGCTAACTCGAAGGGAAATTAGAAGTATATGTATCGAGGGACAAACTTCCGAGTGCAAAGGGTTAACAAAGATCATTCATTCGAAACGAAAGACTTCCTTCTCATCGCCAAAGTTTCAAACTAAATCGTTCGAATATCCATAATTTCCCGACGCGTTCCCGAACTCGAAAATAAATCCAGCAGTTACAGTTACGCGCCGTAAAGGTCGGGTAAAGCTCGACAGCGGTACCGCGATGTAATGGCGGTACAAGCGGCGAGCAAATAATTCCGTTCTCTATTAATCAGATAAAGGGAGGACACCGGCGTAGACGCCTATAACCGGTGACCGTCGGATGAAGCGGGGCGTCCCGGCGAAGGAGAACGGAAGGAGGAGGAGAGGAGGAGAGAGAAGTCTTCTAGGGTAAAGAACCTAACATGTCGCGTCCCGTCTCTCTCTCCCCCTGTCATTAATACCAGGACGACTGTTACATATGGATGAGAGAGGAGAGCCCGGGTTAGGCCAGAACGGCAGCGATGGTACAGAACGAGACGAAAGCGAAACGGGATGCAGGGAAGCGAAACTCATCGGCTAAAAGCATCCGACGAAAGACCAAACCGTCGTTCCGCTCTCGTTCTGAAATCTCGTCGCCCTCTTCGCGGGCTCCGAAGAGAGGAGAGGCCGTGGAGCGGAGCAAGAGAGAGTCGCGTCGCGCTGGTCCTCTCGCCAAAGAGCCCCGGAGACTTCGATAAGCTCGGCCGGGGATAAAACGAGTTCCCTCGACGAGTTTACCTACGATTCAAATTGTCTGCGCCAGCCTCGATTCCACGGAGTCTCCTAGTTTACACTGAATTCCTTTTTGCTCCCTGACTCCGACGGCGGCCACCCTCTCGGCGAGGACGCCTGCCCCTGAGCAGCTTATTTCCTCTAGGACGCCGCGAGTTCTAGATAAAAGGCCAGGCTAAAGGAAAATTCATCGGACGAGAGAGACTCGGCTCCCGATTCTTCCTGTCCTCGAGTGGACGCGCTCGCGACCCGGCACAAATCCGAGAGGACATTCGCGGGACGTTTATCGGCTCTCAGGAATTGATCGTGACTTCGGGGTTGCCACTCTCCTCCGGTCCGTCCCGGCCGCGAACGATAAATCTGCTCTCGTACCCCCCCTCCGGCGTGTTCAGTATATCTTCCCGGTCAAGGGGAGTAAACGCAATATAGGTAATGTTCCGGCCGGCTACTTAACAAATTGCTACAAATTGCGGTTAGCGTTTAGCGTCCGATCCACTCGGATCTGCGGTCTCTTTCCAGCGGCCCCCGTCACCTCTTCTGCGGTGGTACTTTCGCCGTGGGGAGAGCCTCGCCGTTCCGCGTCCTCGTCTATCTTCGGAACGGTACACGCTGGTGACCACATGGCGCTCCCATATGTCCGCGCCATCACCCCAACGTCCGCCCACGGATTTCGCCAACCTTGTTCGGAAGATGGAATTGCCGGCGTAGAAATGAAAACGCGATGCGACAGGTCCGGGTGGTTCGCGACGAACGAGCCCGAGGGTTGTTTTCTTCTCTGTCCGCCTTTTATTATCTTCATCGGGCTGACCGGCTGTAGCCACCGGCGACTGGTGTTTCCAAATTGCTCGGAATTAATTACGATAAGATCGGGACTCGAGAGGAGTATCGAGTTAAGCGAGTGGCTTAGATAATGGAATAACGTGGCGTGATACCGAATCGTTGGTAATTAGTTGATACACAAAGTGTGCTCGGGATTCCAGAGGCGGTTACCTCGTTCGGGATTTAATTGCGCTCGTTTCAAGGTGTTTACGGAGGCGTTAATCCGATTAACTGGAATTGCCGGTCGGAATGGCTGCGAGCGGGGAGAAACAGAAGGATCCGGGCCACGAACGGAAACCGGAGGCCGGTTTCTTCTGAAAATCGTAGCTGCGGGGAAGGACACGCGTCATTAATCAATGGTTCCGAACCGGAGAATCGGCGGCCCTCTAAATGGCACTTTAAAGGCGATACCCTCGAGCCAATCAGCGATCGCGTGCCGAGCGCGCGCGCCCGCGCCTCTCGCACACGGATCGTCCGAGTTAATTTCACGGGTATTTAACGCGGTTTCGCTTAACAATGATTCAATCAAGTCGGATTTATTTGGCCGGGATTCGGCGGTCGCCGGCACGAGGCGGTCATTAGGGCTTCTCGTCGGAAACGCCTCCCAGCCTTTCGGGATGGACGCGGCTGTTGGAGCCATCGACGACGTGCGTCGTCGATTTTCACTACTTTTTTCCTGTCGATCTGCTAACTATCTAACGCAAGAATATCTTTGCTTCGATTATTACGAGACTATTGAAATCTAAGAATGTCTAACCCATAGACGTCTCAATCTTCCACTTTAATCTCTGATCACTTCGCTTTTCGTTCATTCTATTCTCATTTCATTAATTTTACCAATTATAAACCTTATCACGTATTTCTCGTACTAATCCTCAATACCCAAAACTTGGAAAACAAAGTCAAACGCATAAAAGTCTCAATCCTCCATACTTTAACCTCCTCTTATTTCCATCTCGTCCATTTGAATCCGATAGTATCGCGCATTATCAACCGTCAATATCTCGAGTTTCGCAGGGCAATCGAATCCAGTCCCGCAAACGACGAGCCGCACAGGAGACAAACGGCGGCGGTTACCGCGATTAGAAGGACGCGTCGTGCTCGTCCGGCGTAAATATCGGCGGAGCCCCCGGACGCCTTCTGTCCAGGAAAGGGGGGCCCGGGGATCGGCAATTCGACGGCCGCGCGAAATGTTGTCAGCCAATTTTCTTGGCCAGTGCCCCTGAATGCCGCAGATTTCCATCTAGGTCCGTCCTCGGTGGCGCCGGTGTATTCCGTTGCTGGGTAAATACACCCTTTTCCATCCCCTCGAGCGGACGAGCGTCGTCGTCGTCGTCATCCTCCTCCGTCCGTCGCCTCGTCCTCCATCGTCCACCTCCGTCCTCCATCCCCGACCCACCCCCGGCCGCATGAACCACAACTGTGATTATAATTCGTAGTCCCTGCTGACAGAACCAACCGCCCGCCATCGTCAACCCCGTTTCTCCTCCGCGCGGCACCCCGTCTCTCTCTCCGGCGTCGGCACGTTAGTGGACGGGGATCGGACGCTGTGTAAAGGATTATGCACGCGGATTTAACTGATGAATCACATTGTCGTCTTGATTCGCGGTGGCGTTAATTTTCGGTTCTGGCCCCCCTACCCTTCGGTCTCGGCTCGCCGCCGGCGCTTCGCCCTCGGTCGTGTGTGCACGCACGCGTGAATGGGGAAAAAAATAGAGAAACAGAGAGGGCGATAGACGCACAGCGGAAAGAAGGAAGAGACGCGTAGAGGGACACATCGAGAGACACAGCTTCATAGACGACGGAAGATCGCGTTGCAGCGATTCCGCGCGTTCCTCGCGATCGAAGATGGACGTCCACGTTAATATACCGATAAATCGAAGACGGAATACAAGACGGTGACTCGGCGTAACGGCGGAAAAATGCGTTCCGCCGATTCCAAGCGTTCCGAGTGATCACGGATCCACGTGTCGACGATAAATCGGAGCCGCGGCCCGGACTCTCGCGTAATAGAATCGCCGGCAGCGCTCGTCCCGGTAATTGTCTCGCGTAATCTAACGACGCTGGGAAGATCGGTCTCGAACACGTGTACCGAGCGATTTTTCTCCTTGTTTTTTTCTCTCTCCGCCGGTGCCCGCTCCTCGTCCCGCGTCGGTTCCGTGGTAAAGAGGCCGCGGCAAAAACCTCCGAGTCTAACGAGAACAAGGGAACACGGTCGCGGGGGATAGAGAACGGCGATAAATCAGCGCGGAACGACAAATTACCGGCGGCAATTAATCGACGAACCTTCTCCGACGCTTATTTGGAGAACTCGTCCCGCTTAATGCGCCGTAATGAGTATTCGAGATTACGGCAATCGAATTCATCGGGCCGCAGGCTGGCTGGCTGGCTGGCTGGCTCGCTGGATGCCTGGCCGGTCGGCCGGCCGCGCAAATAATTTATGACCGATGCTTCTTTAGGATATACGGATCGCGGCGAGTCTGCGGCTCGCTCGGCCGGCCGATCGGCCGACAGCAGGCGCACCCTTCTCGGCTCCGCTCGTCGAGCAAACAATTTCCATCCGTTTGGAAAGGCTTCTAATCCGCCAACACGGCCGGGCCCCGCGAGCAAAGCCAGAATTAACCGCTTCCACCGCGGCCGGAGAGATCTCCGGGGCTTATTAATTTCGCCAATAACGCCAGGAGGGTGCCGCCTCCGCACAGATGGCGTATCACGAGTCAATATACTTTTCCGCCACGGAAACCGCCCCTCGGAACACGTGACGCTCGACCCGAATTTTCGCCACGCTAATCATTCCCTTTGACCTGTGCCACTCGCAGATGGTTCCGCGAGCGGTCGCGCGGAGCTTCTGCTTCTGATGTAACTCTTTCGGGAAAGATCGAGTATTCTTGTAGGTTCTCGAAGGTAAGATCGGA